CGTCTATATCCGACAATCAGTTTGGGTTCATGCCGGGTCGCTCCACTACGGTAGCTATCCACCTTATTAGGAGGTTGGTGGAACAGTACAGGGATAAGAAGAAGGATCTGCACATGGTGTTTATTGACTTGGAGAAAGCGTATGACAAGGTCCCTAGGGAGGTGCTCTGGAGATGTCTTGAGGCAAAGGGCGTGCCGGTAGCCTACATAAGAGCGATCAAGGACATGTATGATGGAGCTAAGACTAAGGTTAGGACTGTGGGAGGCGACTCGGAGCATTTCCCGGTTGGTATAGGATTACACCAAGGTTCTGCGCTTAGCCCGTTCTTATTTGCCTTGGTGATGGATGCATTGACACACCATATTCAAGGGGATGTGCCATGGTGTATGTTATTTACTGATGACATAGTTCTAATTGATGAGACGAGGGACGGTGTTAACGAGAGATTGGAGGTTTGGAGACAGACTCTCGAGTCTAAGGGTTTCAAATTGAGCAGGTCTAAGACAGAGTACCTAGAGTGCAAGTTTAGCGCTGAGTCGAGGGAAGTAGGCAGGGACGTGAGGCTTGGATCACAGGTCATCCCCAAGAGAGATAGCTTCAAGTATCTTGGGTCGATGATCCAGGGGGACGGAGAGATCGACGATGACGTCACTCACCGTATAGAGGCGGGCTGGATGAAATGGAGGCTTGCATCTAGAATCTTTTGTGACAAGAAATTACGACTGATAGTCAAAGGTAAGTTTTATAGAGCTGTGGTTAGACCGGCCATGTTGTATGGGGCAGAGTGTTGGCTGGTTAAGAACTCTCATATCCAGAGGATGAAGGTGGCAGAGATGAGCATGCTTAGGTGTATGTGCGGGCACACTAGGATAGACAAGATTAGGAATGAAGATATTTGGAAGAAGGTGGGTGTGGCCCCTGTGGATGACAAGATGCGGGAAGCGAGGCTCAGATGGTTCGGGCATGTACGGAGGAGCACCCTTGATGCTCTGATGAGGAGGTGTGAGCGGTTGGCCGTGGTGGGTACGAGAAGAGGTAGAGGGATGCCTAAGAAGTATTGGGGAGAGGTGATCAGGCAGGACATGGTATGACTGCAGATTTCCGAGGACATGGCTCTTGATAGGAAGGCCTGGAGGTCAAGCATTAGGGTTGTAGGTTAGGGGGTAGTAAAGCTTTCCTTACTTCATACCGGGGGTGAGGCGGGGTTGGATTAGGGTTGATCTTAGATGGCTCGCAGTTTATGTTGAACCCACACTATCATTGCTGTTTATCTTAGCCCCAGGCCTTAGTTACTGGTTACTGTTATTGCGTGTCATTTATCTTTTGGTTGTTATGCTTCTGTTACTATTACGGTTTCTACTGGAGTTACTAATGAATTGTCTTTTTTTTTTTTCCGTCTCTCTGAGCCGAGGGTCTATCAAAAACAACCTCTCTGCCCTATCGGGGTAGGGGTAAGGTCTGCGTACACATTACCCTCCCCAGATCCCACTTTGTGGGATTTTACTGGGTAGTTATTGTTGTTGTTGTTATTGTTGGTACAAGTTAAAAGGCGTTACAAATATAGGGTACCACTGCAAATAGTCCTTTTAGTAGGTGAGAGAACCCATTCGGCCTGTAAACCCATTAGTATTTCCCTCTTCAATCAATGAGAGGACAATTGGCACACAACACTAAGATACAAAGCATTCACAGAGACAAAGGATCTTTTAAAAGAAAATGTTCTATGAGCTCAGAAGAATGTACATAATTGCATGGATGAACCATAATATACAATTAGCTGCACCGGCTCAGATTGTACAAAATGAGGATCCTAATAACTTTCGGCTGGATTTTAAAACTACTAGATACAAGATCATACATACAATTGTACAACTGCAAGACAGAAGGATTTCTCTATATCACTCCCTTTCTCCAGTAAAGAACTGGTGATGGAAAATTCTGAAGGAGAAAAGAAATCTGCAAATTGCAACAAGAGCTAAACCTGTTTTTGAGATAAGAGGACAAGCAGCCCTTGAGGGCCTAGTAAAATCTCATTAATGAAACTGACTAGTCCAAACCAAACGACAGGAGTTACGTCGACTCCAGCGAGAGGAGGAATCAATTTTCGTGTTGCACCAAGAATGGGCTCTGTGGGTGCATAAGCTATGACATACGGGAATTTTCCAACTGGAAGCTTAGGATACCAGGACATGACTATTCTCAAAATGAACAGAAACGAAAATGCTGATAGGAAGGGGCCAAGAAAGCTGATTGCTAGTTTTGCTGTGGCAGGGTCTAAATCTAACAGTACCAATCTTTGCATCAGCGGCAATGAAGCATCTGAGGTCTCAATTGCGCTGCTTGTCAGTACTTTAACAACCTCTTCTGAATTGAGAGGACTAATCGGAACGTTTCCATTTGACTGCACCAATTCAATAGTCGCAGACACTGAGCCGTCCAGATAAGAACATGCTCTGAATTTTGTGTCTCGACAGCTTTGGATATTTTTTCTTCTCATGGATATTAGGAAGTTTCCCTGCAAGAGATAAAGGTCTGAAGTTCATGAACTGTGGAAAAGTAAAATAATGGCAGTCACAAAAACAAATAAGATCTAAGCTAATTGGTATATACTGAATAGAGTTAATATCATTCTTTCTTCTTCTATACGAGAACAATGATGCATACCTACAATTGAAATTACATGTGATCAAGTCTTGCTTACTTTAGACTAAAACCTGTTTGCTTGGTGGGAAGTTCTTCCTAAGTAGTAAGTTATAGACTACTAGGACGTAAGAATGAAATATTCAGCCAAAATGACAGTTACTGATGATTTTCTAGAAATAATACTGTTTAGTAATTCCATGACAGAGCTATCAATTTGGAACAAAAATTGAAGTTTACAAGTCGCAGCCAACAGAAAGGAAAGAGTTCTGAACATTAAAATGTAGAAATACCTAAAGAGGGAGTAAATGTTAGATACATTACAAGAACATCTTTATGTTTTAGCATCTGAGCCTAAAATGTCTTTTCCAGAAAATTCCCTCCCTCTGCTTGTGAGCAGTCATCAGTGCTCAACCGACTGATACAACAAAAACTCTGAAGCTTATGTATAAAGTCCCTAATGCAATCATTGTTATTTACTGAGCATCTAGAGTAACCATGAGTCAGATGTTATTGAGACAAGCAATCAGAGGTGGATCCGGGATTTGAATTTATGGGTTCCTACTACGATCTCAAGTTAATGTAGAGTGACAACTGGGTTCCCAGTCAAATATTTGTAGATATTAGTAGATTTTTTAATATAAATACAGTGTGTGGGCAAAAGGCTATTAGGTTACTGGGTTCCCATGCATCTCTAAATTGTACTCTAGATCCACCTCTGCAAGCAGCCCCAAAAAGTGAGGAACAACCAGGTCCAGTAAAGCGTGGGTATGTGTTGCATCTCAGTGATCAACCAAACAAGATATTCGAAAAAATTGAACAGGCAACCATAGACTAGTATTGTAAACCTCTATGACCAACATGGATTTTTTTTTTCCTAATAATCCTGGCAATGGTAATGAAAAGCAATTCCCCCCATCATTGGGAAATACTTACATTTGACAGTATAAAGACAAGCTTGAATTCAATCTATACTCTCATTCTGTGTAACAATGGTTAAGAGAAGAAATGGAATGAAATATGCATCATTTCCTATGATCAACACATAAAGCATACCTACGGTAGGTACTAAAGCAAAATAAAGAAGGAAACACAGAGAGTTTGTATTAGGTGATACCCTTTTTTGCTTGAGCCCGACCGGGTTGGGTCCGGTCCGGAGCAAATCGGGGCCATCGAACCCGACCTGGATGCAAGGTAGAACGACGGCCACGTCTACAACCGAGGTCGAGTCATTTCGAGACCGTTACAGAGCTCGAAAGGAATCACCACCGGATGGAGAAACACACAAGGTCGGAAGCCGGGCTCGTAACGGATAACCAAGCGTCGCCGGATATCTCGCCCAAACGTGATTTTCTCAACCACTTCAGGCCATTAAGGCGTAATTACAGGGATCCACGATGTAATCAATTTACCTACCTTATTTTTACCCTTAATCAGAATGTATAAATGGGTATCTCTCTAAATTCTTGTGGACGATCAAGCACAATTGTTCTAAGCAATATTATATTCTGCGATTATTTACTTTAACAGCAATTGTTGTCTTTATCTTTATTTTCCTCAACCTAAAAGCCTTTTGTATCTTTTAGTTCACGGATCCTTAAAACCCCATATAAATTCAATTGTTATCCGGATTCGAGGGTAAACAGTTTGGCGCCCACCGTGGGGTTAAGGATATTGGTGAGCTCTTTGATACTCTTTCTTGACGCATCGCAATACACTGGTTCTTTGCAAAAGAGTCCATCTTACATTCAAATTACCAACTCATAGAATGGCACAATCAATTAACAACGAACTTGAACAGCAGACAGGAAACAATGGAATGCCCGGGCTCGAAAACCCGATAGATGCCGGTTCCCGGATGGCGCTCAACACTGATCAGGCCTCCGGATCATCGCATAGCGTCCGGGGAGAGGACGATTCGAGGGCCCAGGCAGTCGGCGAAGAGACTATCAACCTTAAAATGATTTTTGACATGCTGCAAGCCCAGCAATCGGCTATAGCTCAGCTCCAGAGCCGGGTCCAGGAGCCTGTCAGGTCCGAGGAGGCTCCCCGTGCAGCTGCAATCATCAATCCAACCCCAGTACAGCCGGAAAGGGGTGGGCCGGATGCTGATTCTGCGGTTCTTAGGAGGCTAGAAGAATTGACCGAACGAATCGAAAAGGGGGAGGAAAAGATCGAGGCCAACGATAAAAAAGTAGAAACATACAACTCCAGGGTCGACCAAATACCAGGTGCACCTCCGGTCCTGAAAGGCCTTGACGCTAAAAAGTTTGTACAAAAACCGTTCCCATCCAGTGCCGCCCCAAAACCTATCCCTAAGAAATTTAGAATGCCCGATATCCCGAAGTATAATGGGACCTCGGACCCAAACGAGCATGTGACAGCATACACATGCGCGATTAAGGGAAACGACCTCGAAGATGATGAAATCGAGTCAGTTTTGTTGAAAAAGTTTGGAGAAACCTTGTCCAAGGGGGCAATGACGTGGTATCATAACTTACCGCCAAATTCCATCGATTCGTTCGCCATGTTAGCCGATGCCTTCGTGAAAGCTCACGCCGGGGCGATCAGGGTAGAAACAAGGAAATCCGACCTATTCAAGGTCCGTCAGCGCATAAACGAGACACTCCGGGAATTTGTGTCTCGATTTCAAATGGAAAGGATGGATCTTCCCCCAGTCACGGATGACTGGGCAGTACAAGCCTTCACTCAAGGATTGAACGCCAACAGCTCAGCCGCATCCAGGCAATTAAAGCAAAGTCTGATCGAGTTTCCAGCAGTTACGTGGGCAGACATCCATAACCGGTACCAATCGAAGATAAGGGTAGAGGACGACCACAGCGGAGCAAGTTCGGATTCACCATCCACACATAGGAATTTCGATCGACCTCGTAGGGAAAACTACAAAGATTCGAGACCGAACAAGGAAAGATATCGGCCGTATCAGGATGATAGGAGGCCTAAATTTACGAGGAACGACCGCGACACTTCAATATAGGGGACTTGGTACTAAGAAAGGTCACCCTCAACACTCGAGACCCTAACGAAGGGAAATTAGGACCGAACTGGGAAGGCCCTTACACCATTTTGAAGGTAACCGGAAAGGGTTCGTACAAGTTAGGAACGATGGATGGAAAAGAACTACCCAATAACTGGAATATAGGCCACTTGAAGAGATACTACTGCTAAAGGTAAGTCTTCTTTCTTCTTCGCTTCCATAAATTTTTTGAGACTTGTCCGATCCTAACCCGTGCAGGTCGATGATCGGTCGCTAAGACAAGTTCGGACATCGGAGAGACTGAAAGCACGAGCTGCACTCTTTTTTCCTTCGACCGTTTTTGTCCCAACTCGGGTTTTTCGGCAAGGTTTTTAACGAGGCAGCAAGAACATCGTGCTACTACAAAGGTATCTAAGGGTAAATCATTGTATACTAGATCACCCTCCGAAGAAGGCGAAGGTCAATAAGAATAAATGTAAGGGTCAAACGGCCAAAGCGAGCCGTGCCCAACTAGCCTGACCTAATCCGCCCGGATCAGTATGATGTATTGACTATTACTGCAATAGCAAAGACTATCTGATGCATATTCACATCATAACCTAAAGATTTTGTTCGACTCTTCGGTATGCTTTCAAGTCCGATCTCATAAGACCTCCTCGAGGCATATTCGATCTCATATTCGATCTCATAAGACCTCCTCGAGGCATATTCGATCTCATAAGTCCTCTTCGAGGCATATTCGATCTCATAAGACCTCCTCGAGGCACATTCGAACATAAGGCCTCCTCGAGGCATATTCGATCTCATATTCGATCTCATAAGACCTCCTCGAGGCATATTCGATCTCATAAGTCCTCCTCGAGGCATATTCGATCTCATAAGACCTCTCGAGGC